ACAAAGGAGACTGTTGGGTACACCTTCTATCACAGATCCGAGGGCAATATATTCGTTGCTAAGAATGGATCCTTTCTAGAGAAGGAGTTTCTCTCGAAAGAAGTGAGTGGGAGGAAAGTAGAACTTGATGAGGTAATTGTACCTGCTCCCCTATTGGAAAGTAGTCCATCACATAAATCAGTTCCAGTGATTCCAACACCAATTAGTGAGGAAGCTAATAATGATGATCATGAAACTTCTGATCAAGTCACTACCGAACCTCGTAGGTCAACCAGAGTAAGATCCGCATCAGAGTGGTACGCTAATCCTGTTCTGGAGGTCATGTTACTTGACCATGACGAACCTACGAACTATGAGGAAGCGATGATGAGCCCAGATTCCGCAAAATGGCTTGAGGCCATGAAATCTGAGATGGGATCCATGTATGAGAACAAAGTGTGGACTTTGGTTGACTTTCCTGATGATCGGCAAGCCATAGAGAATAAATGGATCTTGAAGAAGAAGACTGACGCTGACAGTAATATTACTGTCTACAAAGCTCGACTTGTTGAGAAAGGTTTTCGACAAGTTCAAGGAGTTGACTACGATGAGACTTTCTCATCCGTAGTGATGCTTAAGTATGTCCGAATCATGTTAGCAATCACCGCATTTTATGATTATGAAATTTGGCAAATGGATGTCAAAACAACATTCCTTGATGGATACCTTAAAGAAGAGTTGTATATGATGCAACCAGAAGGTTTTGTCAATCCAAAAGGTGCCAACAAAGTGTGTAAGCTCCAGCGATCCATTTATGGACTGGTGCAAGCATCTCGGAGTTGGAATGTATGCTTTGATAGTGTGATCAAAGCATATGGTTTTATACAGACTTTTGGAGAAGCCTGTATTTACAAGAAAGTGAGTGGGAGCTCTGTAGCATTTCTGATATTATATCTGGATGACATATTGTTGATCGGAAATGATACTGAATTTCTGAATATCATAAAAGGATACTTGAATAAGAATTTTTAATGAAAGACCTCAGTGAAGATGCTTACATATTGGCATCAAGATCTATAAAGATAGACCAAGACGCTTAATTGGACTTTCACGAAGCACATACCTTGATAAAGTTTTGAAGAAGTTCAAGATGGATCAAGCAAAGAAAGGGTTCTTGCCTGTGTTACAAGGTGTGAAGTTGAGTCAGACTCAATGCCCGACCACTACAGAAGATAGAGAGAAAATAAAAGTCATTCCCTATGCTTCAGCCATAGGTTCTATCATATATGCAATGTTGTGTACCAGACCTGATGTGTGTCTTTCTATTAATTTAGTAGGGAGGTACCAAAGTAATCCAGGAGTGGATCAGTGGACAGCGGTCAAGAATATCCTGAAATTCCTGAAAAGGACTAAGGATATGTTTCTCGTTTATGGAGGTGACAAAGAGCTCGTCGTAAATGGTTACGTCGATGCAAGATTTGACACTGATCCGGATGACTCTAAGTCACAAACCGGATACATATTTTTATTGAATGGCGGAGTTGTAATTTGGTGCAGTTCTAAGCAAAGCGTCGTGGTGGGATCCACATGTGAAATGGAATACATAGCTGCTTTGGAAGCAGCAAATGAAAGAGTCCTGATGAAGGAGTTCATATCCGATCTAGGTGTCATACCTAGTGCATGAGGTCCAATGAAAATCTTTTGTGACAATACCGGTGCAGTTGCCTTGGCAAAAGAATCCAGATTTCACAAGAGAACCAAGCACATCAAGGGACGCTTCAATTCCATCCGCGATCAAGTCAAGGTGGGAGACATAGAGATTTGCAAAATACATACGGATCTGAATGTTGCAGACCCATTGACTAAGCCTCTCTCGCGAGGAAAACATGATCAGCCCTAGGACTCCATGGGTGTTAGAATCATATAACAATGTAATCTAGATTATTGACTCTAGTGCAAGTGGGAGACTGAAGGAAATATGCCCTAGAGGCAATAATAAAGTTGTTATTTATATTTTCTTATATCATGATAAATATTTATTATTCATGCTAGAATTGTATTAACCGGAAACTTAGTAAATGTGTGAATACATAGACAAACAGAGTGTCACTAGTATGCCTCTACTTGACTAGCTCGTTAATCAAAGATGGTTAAGTTTTCTAGCCATAGACATGAGTTGTCATTTGATGAACGGGATCACATCATTAGAGAATGATGTGATTGACTTAACCCATCCGTTAGCTTAACACTATGATCGTTTAGTTCATTGCTATTGCTTTCTCCAGAACTTATACATGTTCCTATGACTATGAGATTATGCAACTCCCGAATACCGGAGGAACACTTAGTGTGCTATCAAACGTCACAACGTAACTCGGTGATTATAAAGATGCTCTACATGTGTCTCCGATGGTGTTTGTTGAGTTGGCATAGATCGAGATTAGGATTTGTCACTCCGATTGTCGAAGAGGTATCTCTGGGCCCTCTCGGGATGTTGCATTACGGAACAAGTAAAGAGACTTGCCGGTAACGAGATTGAACTAGGTATGATGATATCGACGATCGAATCTCGGGCAAGTAACATACCGATGACAAAGGGAACAACGTATGTTGTTATGCGGTTTGACCGATAAAGATCTTCGTAGAATATGTAGGAACCAATATGAGCATCAAGGTTCCGCTATTGGTTGTTGACCGGAGATGAGTCTCGGTCATGTCTACATAGTTCTCTCATCTGTAGGATCCGCACGCTTAACGTTCGATGACGATCGGTATTATGAGTTTATGTGTTTTGATGTACCGAAGGTAGTTCGGAATCCCAGATGTGATCACGGACATGACGAGGAGTCTCTAAATGGTCGAGACATGAAGATTGATATATTGGAAGGTTATTATTTGGACACCGGAATGGTTTCAGATGAGTTTGGGCATATACGGGCATATACCGGAGTATCGGGGGGTTACCGAAACCCCTCGGGAGCTTAATGGGCCTACATGGGTTTTAGTGAAAGAGAGAGGAGGCGACCAAGAGGTGGGAGCGCGCCCCCCAAGCCCAATCCGAATTGGGAGGGGGCCGGCCCCCCTTTCCTTCTTCTCCTCTTCCCCTTCCTTCCCCCTTCTAGTTGGACTAGGAAAGGGGGGAAACCTACTCCTAGTAGGAGTAGGAATCCCCCCTTGGGGGCGCACCATGAGGCCGGCCGGCCCCCTCCTGCCCTCCTTTATATACGGCGGAGGGGGCACCCCATAGACACACAAATTGATCTCTTAGCCGTGTGTGGTGCCCCCCTCCACAGATTTTCACATCGGTCATATTGTCGTAGTGCTTAGGCGAAGCCCTGCGTCGGTAACTTCATCATCACTGTCAACACGCCGTCGTGCTGATGAAACTCTCCCTCGGCCTCAGCTGGATCTAGAGTTCGAGGGACGTTCCGAGCTAAACGTGTGCAGATCGCGGAGGTGCCGTGCATTCGGTACTTGATCGGTTGGATCGCATAGACGTTCGACTACATCAACCATGTTACTTAACGCTTCCGCTTTCGGTCTACGAGGGTACGTAGACACACTCTTGCCTCTCATTGCTATGCATCTCCTAAATAGATATTGCGTGATCGTATGAATTTTTTTGAAATACTTCTTCCACCTACAGCAGGAGGACTAGAAGTGCAACCTGTCGCTCCTCGACCACCACCAGCTCGCGGGTGGCCAGATCGTGGGCGAGCAGGCGAACGAGCAAGCTGTGGCAACCATGCTGATGGAGAACCAAGGCTTCGTCGATGAACATCAGGCGTTGTACAAGTCAGTGCGGAGCGCCCACACCATCCGCCACGAGTGATGGCAACTCCATGTAATTGAGGCGGAGCGCGACCGCTTGTTCGAGGAGATCGTGGCGGAGGCGTACTGGGAGCGGCACATGCGGTGGCGGATGGGAACGCTGCCAACATTGGCAGCTTTGCGTCATTTGCGCCGGCTCACAATGACGACGAGATTGGACCATCCTGCTCAAGCATTGACGGCCGGGCATCAAACTCCGGCATGGAAGCGTAGGACGTGAAACACGGACATGCCCACGTGCGGCAAAGAGCAAAAAACATGGGACACCGACGTGACCACACCCGACAAAGACGGCTAGGGTGCCTTCATTTTTACTATGTGAAGGAAATCTTAAATATTAATAGAAATGCCGTGCCTGTCTTTATTTGGTGCATCGGGTCGGACGACTGCTATCTGTGAGCACGTTCGAACGTGTCCATGGAACGTTTGGCGTGTCCGATTTGATGCATGGCGTTGGAGATGCCCTTGCATAGTGACGATCGGCTGACGGGACGGGGTACTCCACATATCTACCGTATGTACGTAGCCAAGTAGTCCATCACGACAACCGCATAATTCGATCACGGCCTCACTTGCATAGCTGCGCAGAGTAGGGGCTAGGGGTGCACAATGACGGACGCACGCACGCGCTTAAATCTCTGCGTGCGTCATGTCTGTCTCGCTACACCCGAACAGTAGCAGCTAGGTAGCGTAGGACTGTCGCAAAAAGAAAAAAAAAAGGTAGCGTAGCGTAGGACGATCGTTCTAGTATGTGGCTCAGGCTCACCGGCGGGCAAGCGCACGCGCTGGGGGAGGAGGCGGCGGCCGTGGTGCGGCAGGCGGTGAGCTTGGCGGGGCGGCGGGGCCATGCGCAGGTGACGCCGCTACACATCGCCAGCGCCATGCTCGTGGCTTCCCCAGCCACGGCAGGCATCCTCCGCGCCGCCTGCGCCAGGTCCCAGTCCCTCCCGATGCAGCACAGCGCGCTCGACCTCTGCCTAGGCATGGCGCTCGGCCGCCTCCCCTTGGCCAAAGAGGCCAGGCCAGCGTCCGCCGTCGCCCACGATGCTGACCGCGTCGAGCCGGCGCCGTCGAACGCGTTCGTGGCCGCGCTGAAGCGGGCGCAGGCGCATCGGGGGCGCAGTGGCGGCAAGGTCGAGCTCGAGCAGCTCGTACTCTCCATCCTCGACGACCCGAGCGTCGACCGTGTCATGCGCTCGGCTGGCTTGGCTAGCTCCCAGGTCAGAGCCAGCGTCGTGTCGTCGGAGCAGTTGAGTAGGGCAAGTTCCGACGTCACGCCTTCTCCCAGATCGGTTCCGATGAAGGCTAGGGCTGGTGGACAAGCATCTCTTTCTCTTCAGACCGTCCCGGAACTCCACCCGCCGGTCGTCGCCGACGTCGTCCCGGACGGAAGGTACTTTACCACATCCAGAGTGTCGCATGCACGTTTATGACTGGCGTTTAAATTACATACTCTGGTGGGGACGCAAAAATGCTACACACATGAAACTTTACGGGGCTACAACGGACCCCTTCCAACTTACTGCTAAACTTCTCCCCTTGATTTTCACGGGGATGGAGCCAGCTTCACCTCTTCTTCCCAATCACAACTTTTCACATCAGCACGTCCTGTAAACAACGTCCACGAAATCCTTCCATGTGTGTAGCAAAGCTCTTCGGGACGTGCATCAGGTTTGTACATCAGCGGTGTGGTGCTTTTCTAGTAAATCTCTATATTCCTTAAACGGTTGGACGACCCTATTACTACTGTTCTCCCCACCTTGCTACTGCAAACACCATTCTCTTACCCAACAGTGTAATCATCGCCTTCGGCTTGTTAATTTGTTATGTCCCACGGGCACCTCGTCCTGACCAGAGTTAGTACATGGACGTGTGGACCTAAAACTCTCCTTAACTCTACAATTATCCTCCTCGATCGTCCTCCACCTTCGTCATTTTCACTTCGCAGGTGGCTCCTCAACTCTGTTATAGTCGCTACCACTCTCCTTACCTCATGGTACATGGACGTGTGCTGAAGAAAATAAACAAGACTAGCAAATTAAAATAATGGTTCTCTAACATTTTGTTTCAGTTGATGGCATTATAGTAATGGTTTTGAATATGAAATACCAGTTGCCTGGCCGGCAAATTAAAAAACGTGAGGAAGAACGTTTCTATGGCTTTAGTTATTCTCCGTAGTTTTCTCCTATAGTTAATTTGCACTAGTTTTTTGCGGGAATAATTCGCACTAGTTCACTTACATAATAATAGAAATTATTTCCCTTGTAAAAGATTACTCACTCTATTCACAAAAATTGCTTCTTGTTTTAGATACTGACATGATCTGTGTATCTTTGGCTGTAATATTGTATACATGTATGTTGGTAAGAACATATTTTTTATGATAGTACTATTTTTACGTTAACATTATTAATATTTTTTATATGTTCATATTCAAAGTTGAAAAGGTTATACCCCGCAAAAAAAGAAGTTGAAAAAGGTTATATTGCATCCTTTGTATGAAGTCATGTATCTTCGAATGGAGATAGTACTATCCTAGTTTGTGCTAGAAGTAAATCTATTTTTTTTTTGCGGGAAGAAGTAAATCTAGTTGACAACAAGGCAATAATAGACGACTGTCATTTAGCCAATGTAAACGCATGCATGGTACTTGACTAGTCGAATGATTTTATCTATTTCTGAGGGGGCTGAGAAAAACTAATTATCCCTGTTTTCTTGAAGTGAATGTCAAGCGAGCAAAGCAAAATCAGGATCAGGGCAGCCGGCTTTCTTATGGGGCACGAAGGTAGACGCAACGACGGCGATCCTGCCTCCGTGGCTCCACCGCCACAAATGTACAACATACTGCGGCACCAGTCGTCAAGCAAACGTACGTACGTATAACACATTCAGATAGATACATGTGTGTGTAATATCTCTCATGCATGAAGTCGTGAACTCACGATCTGATTACCCGTGACACATGCAGGGTGCTTTCAGCCGGCCGAAGTTCACGGAGCTCACCGCGCAAAATCTCAGGATCCTGTGTGACGCGCTTGAGCAGCGAGTTCCGCGGCACGCAAACATCGTTCCCGGTATATCCAGTACGGTGCTCCGGTGCAGATCCGGCGTGACGAGACGGAGGGCGGGGAACAGGCCAATGACATGTTTGTTCTTCCAAGGAAGGGACGGTGGCGGCAAGATGGCGATTGCTCTAGAGCTCGCGAGGCTTGTGTTTGGCTCCTACGCCGAATTCACCGCCCTGCAGGGAAACACCGACATCCCTGCGCGCACCGGCAAACTCACCATCAAGAGGAAGCGATCACCGGACAACGGCGGCGACATTGGAGCGAGGCTGCTCGAAGCGATCGAGGAGAACCCTCACCGCGTAATACTGATCGACGGTGTCGACCGACTGGATCGCAATTCAGAAATACTCATCAAGAATGCGATAGCGGGCGGAAGAATGGTGGGGGGATGCAACGGCGACGTGGTTGGTCCGCAGGATGCCATTGTGGTGTTGACCTCTGACCTGTGTGACTCGACGTATGTGGCTTCCGCTTCCTCCCCACAGGTGAAGCGACGACAGAACAACGAGGACGAAGATGATGTCACAGACATGGAAGTGAGACCACGTCATCGTCTCTGTTGGGATCTGAACGTTTGCGTCGTGGATGGGGAAGAGGAGGAAGACAATTTGGCTGACGATGAGGGGTTCCTGAATGTTGTGGATGGTGTTTTCCTTTTCAATTAGTAGAGGATAATCTTCTTTCAAATGGACGGCAGGTGTTAGTTAGACCATGTAGCATAGTTTAGAGTAGAGTTTATGAAGTCTAATATGATCATTTTCCCGCAAAAAAGAGAGTCTAATCTGAGCATTTTCTCAGACCAAAGCCCTTGGCCTGACCGTTTTAATAACCCCTCTAAAACCTCCTGCATGTGCTGTAATTCTAGAACATCGGCGGCTTTGCAACTTAGTTTGAGATATTGTCAATTCGGGGGTCTCTGGGGCAAAAAGAGCACATGCGGCCCTTTAATATAAACTAGTAATAATTGCACGTTTATATTAGATAGGATATTAGTTGCACGTTATATCAGGTAAGATATATCTGTTGCACGTTGGTATTTGGTAAGATATCAATTTCATTTTCGCGGGAATGATAGGATATTAATTACATGACAGATTTCATGGGATAGCATTGAGTCAAAATGTGTTTATAACCAATGGCAGTGGTGAGTAATTAGAGCGTTAAACGTGTTTGGTGCTCAACATTGAAGCGATTTCAACCGCTAGATAATATGATTTGACGGTCGTGATGGTCTGGATCTGCCCCTTTGGGTCTTTTTATATTGATATAGATATGGAAATATGAATATCCCTTGTCTTGTTATTGAGATTACCCTAATTCTTGGTTCATAAACATCCATAGTAAAAACAAGTAAAAACAAGCAGATGAATTAAGTATGAGATTATGGTCACTAACATTGTTATCAACCGTGTTGATGTCAACATTGTCTTCCATAGAATTTTCGGGGCTGTTTGGATCGTAGACTGCGTCTGCCCAGCCAAAATATTGGCGTTGACCAGGGCTTCACATCTCATTTGGATGAACGCCTAAATTTTGGCACGCCAAACCCGCCGTAGCTTTTCCGCTTTGTTTCTACGCCAAATCGTTGGCGAGACGCGGGCGGTCGATTTACTCGCCGATATTTTGGCGCGCCCACAGCGCCCGCGACTTGGCTGGGCGGACTTGGGCAGTAACCAGACAGCCTCTTCCTCTTCCAGACTTTTCAATTTGTTCCTCCATAGCGACTACTCCATTCATTTCAAAATATAGTGCGCCCGCGTTTCCCGAGGTCCAACTTTGCCATAAATTTAACCAATGAGACCAACTGCGGCGGAAGAAAAAATTATATAATTGAAAACTTCTTTCAAATACGAATTCATTGATATATTTTTTGCTCCCGCCGCAATCGGCCTTAATAGTTAAATTTACGGTTAAAGTTGAAGCACGGGGATAGAGAAAACACTACATTATGAAATGAAGGGAGTATTATCGACTCATCGCGGAACACGGATGAAGTGCTTGTTCTCTTATAAAATTAGTCAATGGATCATCTTCGACAACCTGTCGCTCCACGAGCACCACCAGCTCGCGGAGGGCCAGGTCGCCGGCGAGCGCGCGAATAAGCAATCCCTCGCGTCGATGCTCGTGGAGAACCCAGACCTCGTCAATGAATAGGGAGCTAGTTTGAAATGGGACACTTCAAACCTTCGCGGACACGTCCGAATGTACACAGCAGCACACATACTGAAGATCGGCTGAGACGCGACGGAGTCCTCCACATATCTACCGTACGTACGTAGCCCAAATATAATAGTTCATCACGACAACCGCCGCATAATTCGCATAATTCGATCACGGCCTCACTTGCATAGCTGCGTAGAGTAGAGGCTAGGGGTGCGCAAGGACGCACGGACGCTATTAAATCTCTGCATGCGTCACGTCTATCTACCTACACCTCAAGAGTATAGCTAAGCTATTAAATCTCTGCATGCGTCACGTCACGTCCGTCTATCTACACCTGAAGAGTCTACAATCTCTCTATCGAAAAATCAAATGCATCATCATAGATGCAAGCACATTGATATGAGCTGTTAAGAGCAACTCCAATGGGCCGATTCAAACGGACAACAATTTCGTTCGCTTTTTGTTTGTTTGGGTCGGCCAGACGGACACGGATGCCCGCTTTCATATTTGAGTCAGCTCGTGCGCCCAATGCTAGCTGAGACCCATTTTGACGCCGCCAAAAAAATGAACACATGCATATTAAAAAAAAAGAAAAAACAGCATTAATTAAACATTAAAGCCGGACACGAAGGCCGGCGAGAGTCCACGCGTTCACATTTGCATTTTAAAAAAAGAAAACAACCTAAATTACGAGGCGGCGCGCTGCTCTAGGCGTCGTCGTCGTCGTCCTCGGGGTCCGTGAGGTCGATGAGCGTCGGCGCTGGCCCGGCCCAGGCGAACGCCGTGTTCCAGAGCGCCGTCATGTCGGGCTGTGTCGGCGCAGGCAGTGCCGGCGCAGGGGGTTGTGCGGCCGCCTGTGCAACCACGGCCTGGCGCGCCTCCTCCTCGGCCTCGCGCTCCTCCTCCTCGAGGTCGCGCTCGAGCATCTCGAGGTACTCGCCGTCGCGGCGCTCCTCGGCCACCCCGATGTTGCGCCAGTGCTCGAGGTACGCCTGCTCCTGCGCCGGCGTCACTCCCATCCAAACCGGCGGCGCGTGTACCCATTTGCACACTACTCCTGTCCAGGAGTAGCGCTCGATGGGGGACGGCTCGGGCTCCGCCTCCGGCTTGATAGGGGTCGGCGGGGCCACCGGCGGCACCACGATGTCGCCCGCCGCGGAGAGGGTAAGGGCCTGCGCCATTGCCGCCTCGTACCGAGCCTCTTCTTCCGCCTCCGCTCTGCGCCGCTCGTCCTCCTCGCTCTCCCGGAAGACGACCGCAAGTGCCGCCTGATAGGCGTCCTCCGCCGCCTGGTCCTCCACGCGGACGACGAGCGCCGGTGGCGGCGACCTCTGGTCGACCTCGCGCACGCCCCGTCGCCTCGCCTCCTCGTGCTCGACGGCGAACCACCTCGCCCAGTTGGGCGAGTCGGTTGCGTAGGCGGCCTCGCGGCGCTGCTCCAGCGTCAGCATCGCCCGCCGGCGCCGCACCTCCTCCGCGTGAGCACGAGCCGATCGCGGCACCGCCGGCACTGGGATCCTCTCTGGATCCAGATGCCAGTTGTGCGGCAGCATCACGTCGGAATACGGCAGAGGCTGGCGGTGCTGCCAGTGCCACTCCGCCTGGTGCACTGGCACGTTCACGTGTTGCCTCTGCCGGCGAGGCGCCGGCGCTGGCGGAGGCGGGAGGAAAGGGGTGGCGGGGGACTTGTCCTCGGCCTTGCTGCCGTTGGCGCCGGAGAAGAGGCCCATCTCTGTGGTGGTTGTGGTGACTAGGGTTTGCCGGTGACGAGGGAGCAAAGGATGACAGATGTGGATGGCGAGTTTGGATGAGGACGGCCCCGCCGCATGGTCGGATTAAAAAAGGACGAGCGCCATCGCTGACGCGTGGGCCCGTCGTTATAAATTAAGCTGACCGCGTGGGCAGCGGGTAGTTGGACGGTCGCCATGTGAGGACGCGGTAGACAGCGAGAAGGCGCGTGAAGCGTTCGTTCGGCGTCCGTGCCGACGCATTTGGGGCGCAAATGCGTCGGCGCGGACGCGACGCAGACGTGATTTGGATTTGGTTCGGCGCGTGGGGCCATCACTTTTGTCCGCGCCAATTCAAACGGATGCAGGCGGACGAAAATGAGTCGGCCCTTTGGAGTTGCTCTAATATTTAAGGAAGTGGTGGGAAAAAATAAAATCGATATTAATTACGTTTGTACCGATGACCAGTTTGCAGATATTCTAATCAAATCTTTGGGACGACGAAAGTTCACGAGGATGCAGAAAAGAGTCAGCGTTCAAGATGTGAAGTGAGAACATCGTGCTTAGTGTGTGATTATTGGAACTAATCACGATTAGGCGTAAGAGTCCGGTACGGACATGTAGCCCTGGCCGAGCCGGCTTGTACAAGATACTATAGGTACTATAGAAATCTGTACTAGCTCCCCCTCTAAATATATAAAAAACAGCAATAAAGAAAGGACATTAATAAGTCCCGAACGTTTGGAATTTAAGCATGCTATAATTCGAACTCTTTTTATGGCAACTTTAATCAAGGCGTTGTTAACAAAATATGGTAATTTTCTGACAAAAAATCAAACTGAAACAAAGTTGCCATATGTTAACAACTAAAGTTGCCACCTCGTAACAACTAAAGTTGCCATCAAAAAACTTTCGGGATGACATGTTTAAATTCTGAACATTCGGGATTTGTGGCGATCCAGATCCATTGTTGTGTGCTGCCGTGTACGAGAGCTAGTTTGATTGATTAGTTCAATCCAGACTAGAAGTGCTCCTACGTGCTAAGTACTACAGTACACGTGAAAGAAAGATTCGATCAGGAGTAGCTAGCAAGGCTAGCTTTGCACTGCGGTGCACCGTATATCTTGGCGTAAAAAACTTCGCCAGGATCGTCGGCGTTGTTTTGTCGCCGTTCGTCGCGTATCACCGTCGTCGAAAAGTATTCGGAGTTGGGTCTAAGCCAACAATGACCGCGGACGCCAGGGCCAGGATGAGCGCGGACAGGCGCAGCAGCAGGCTCACCGCCTTGGCCGTTGGGCTCTCCCTCTCCCACCACCCAGACATGATGGATAGATCGATGGATATATTTTTGCTGCCTAGCTACGATGCTGTCTACAATAGCTTGGTGCAACTATTTATGCACTAGCGGGCGAAGGCGCCCGTGCAAGTGCTCTTGATTTGTACAATTCTTGTTGCTGCTTTTTTTAACATAATTGTTGCCGCTGCTTAAACATTATAAGAATAACAGAGTGGATAAGTACATCTGGTTGAACATTATGGGGGTACATTGCATTGGCTAGAGCTGATACAAATTTACTAATGAAAAAAGAAAATCCAGTGAAGTGCATATAGTTTCTTTACAGGCTAAGCTATCATAAGAAAATGTGAAATAGAAGATTGACATGCTAAAATGGTGAGATCATTTAGTAACACGGGTGGTTTGACTCTCCAGTTGTGATAGTACATTCCTTTTTTTTTTTCATTTATTCTGAAATCTTCAAATAGCTACTCCCAAG